CCTCTTCCCATAATAAGATTATAGGAAGGGTGGATCTCCGTTAAGACAAAGTTTTCCTTTAGTGTCCTCTTTGCTGCGGTTACGGATAGGTCAATTACCCCAAGGGGGTCCACCTATGTACCATCGAACCCCACACTGGAGGTGGGCCGAATTGATGATAACGGAATATCTAGCTGCTCAAAGACCGCCTTTGTGATGATGTTGGCACTGCTCCCCGGGTCTATCAAAACCCTCTTCATCATGCAATTCGCCACCAAGAGACTGATGACCAACGGATCGTCATGGGGGAGTTGAACTCTAGATAGATCTCCATCACCAAACCCAATGTTAACGCTTCCCGAAGCAATAGCGTTTACTGAGGATAGCCTTCTTAGCTTATGGGTTGTTCTCAATCGAGACCTATAAACCTTCTCTAACTCCTGATCATCCTCCGATCTTCCATGTATTGCATAGATGACCTTCACTTGATTACCTTCGACTTTCCGAGGGTTGACCTCCTGAGGCTTCACGTACTCCTTTGTTGTGAGGTAGTCTGTCAATTCACCTCTCAATATCATATTTTCCACCTGCTACCTAAGGGATCTGCAATCATTAATTGTATGCCCATAATCTCTGTGGTAGGCGCAGTGCTTGGTCTTATCTCTCTGTTCTAATGGTTGCCTTATTGGCTGAGGGGATGCAAACTTCATTTTATTCTCTTGGAATAACCGAGCCAAGGTTGTGCGAAGAGACGTGAACCTTTCCTCTGTCCTTTGCCTTTTTTGGGTATTTGAATGGCTGGTGCCGAAGCGTGTTGGCTTATTCGGCCTTTTGAGTTTGAAACCCTTTCCTGAGGCTTGTTCTCCACCGTAACAAGGGTGGCATGTTGAGCTCGGTGGGCTACATTCTCCTCAAGTCGAATGTAGATCTATGCTCTAGTATTAAGAGTCTACATGTCTGGAAAGGAATACTTAACTAAAGATGTATGGAACTTGGTTCCCTGAATCATTGCAAGTTTGAACTTTTCTATTGCAGTAGCAGGATGGCAATCTACTATTTTCGAAGCCTCCATATTAAATCTGGACAAGAAGTCTTGTAATGTTTCGCCCTTCTTTTGCCTTATAGTGAAAAGGATAACAATACTCTTTTTTTGCTTCTTATTACTGCAATACTGCGCCAGGAACATAATGTATAGAGTTTCGTAGTCTGGAATAGATTTGTGTGGCCTATTCCTGAACCACTCCAACGTAGCCCCCGTTAGACTGGTAGGGAAAACTTTGCACATCTATGGGTCATTGTGATCATCCAAAGCCATCTTTTGCGCGTAATGATCTAAGTGCCGAGAAGGATCTCCCGTACCATTAAACTGGGTAAAAGAAGGCATAATGAATTTCTTAGGTCTGTCAACAAGGTACACATCTTTAGTGAATGGAATCTTTATGCGAGAGTTCTTATGTTCCCTGACCATCTCTACAGGCGTTTGAACTCTCAGGAGTCTCTTATCGTCAAATGCCTCCTTTACTCCTACACCATCTGGAACACTATTAGACCATACCGTAAGTTTACGGCTGAATTCGGCTTGTTCATCCTGTGTGCGAAGAGGAAGATTGTCCGAAGCTACCACCACGAACCTTGCCCTCTGGTCTTGCTGAACTTCGGTGGGCCGAACTTCACTAAGCCGAACCCCATTGACCTGAGGCTCATTTTGGTTAGGAGGAAGCGTAGCCCCGTTAACTGGTGGTGGCCGAACTTCATTAAGCTGAACCCCATTGACCTAAGGCTCATTTTGGTTGGGAGGAGGCGCAGCCCTGTCAACTGGTGGTGGCTGAGGTGTCAACTGAGCCATGGCCGTTTGAAGGGTGTCATTTTGCTGTTGAAGTAATACAATTTGGGCTACGTTGGCTTCATTTACCTGACGAAGCACTTTGAATTAGTGCAAGAACTCTTCTCGTATCTTTTACATTAACTCCATCTGTTGATCTGCCGCCGTCAATTCTCCATTCGACATTCCAGATCATGGAAACAAAAACAATTTGAAGCAAAAAGTGGGAGTATCTTTCTATACGCTTCCCACAGACGGTGCCCAAGTGTAGGTGCAAAATTTCTCTCTATTAAAACAAATAAAAAGAAAAATACAACTCACTCAGAATAAGCAAAAAATAAAACCCAGAATAAGTATATAATGGTCGATGATTTTATTGGAGGTCTAAGCCTCTATTTATAAGAAATAAGGTGGTGGAATTATGGTAGGATTCGCATGGCTTGTCCTCCAATCCATTCCATGTATGACTTTCTTTACAATTACAATCCTTTCTTTTTTACAATTCTTTCCATGCAGAATTTTCCTTGCTCAAAACTTGCTCTCTTTGTGATTCCTTGGCCTAGCAGGGCTAGTCTTCCCTTAACCAAGATTGGGCTGAATGTGGGCTGACCCAGATGAATCAGCTAATGGGCTTGGAGTTCACCCTTAGAGTTCCGGGCTGCTGATGTCTGGGCTTGGAAGGTGGGCCGGATGGCCTGGGTCTATAATCTATATGGGAGCCAAGACTTTATCTGGGCTTGCTCTGGATTGGGTTGCTCCAATTTGGGCTCGGCACCGATTGGGCCCTTGCTATACCTAGAGTAATTTTGTAGTGTGATGACGTGGACGATTCTTATTGGAAGGGGGATTTTTTCCCTCCACAGATGGTATTTGTACTGAGCAATTTTCGTTTGGTGTTGCAGGTAATGTTCATCTTGGTACACAATTTGAGGACTCTGGTTACTGCGATTCCTCTCCATCGAAGTCTTTTGCTACGCAGTTGGCACTTTTGGTTGGGACTACTCAGCCTAGGGTTACAGATTCTACCTGATCTTTGTTTGTCCATCCTTTTGGGTCTTTTGTTGGTGGGTTTTGTTATCTAGGTGTTTTGTTGGGTTGTTTTGTTATGGTTTGGTTGTATTTTGGTGGTTTGTTTCTTTGTAGATGTTGTAGGGCTTCTGTTGCCAGGAAAAAAAAGAATCTCAAATCACAAGGGTATGGGTAAAATAGCATGGGTGATACTTCTTTGTGGAATAAGGGTAATGGTCAAATGGGCAAACAGGCTCATATCATATATAAGGCTCAAAGTGGTGAACCAATGAAAAATATAATTAGGTCCAAATTTGGGAAACTGGACTGGGCCTAAACGATTCAATTATCGAATTGAGTCATACTTTGGGTAAACTTACAACTGGACTGCAATTAGGCTAAGAAATTATAAACTGAAATTGGGAATTTTGAGATACTCCTTCAGAGAGGAGGTAGAATAGAGTGCCTATCCTCTCACACATAGAGGTTTCCTCTCACCTATAGGGGTTATTTGTTCTTCGGAGAGTAAAGTTTTGATTAAAGTGAAGTGTTTTTTTCTCTGGGATGGAAAACATCAATTCTCCTGTCCATTGTGTTTATGGTCCGTGTTGTGAAAGACTTGCAAGTTTGGGTGGTCGGCTCGGTACATGTGCGCCGCTGGTGGCAAAATTAAGCTTCTGGTGGGTTTCAAGGTTTTTTTGCAGTGGTTCAGAAGCTTTTTCCTTTTGATCCAGGTATTGGACCAATTTCTTTTGTTAACCTTGTCTTTCTACTTTTCTTTTTAACCTATGTAGCATTTGGGTTACTATGTTTGTCCTTCTCGGTCATTGTACATTAGCAGATCAATTCTCAGTGGTCTTCCATGAAGAGTCATTTGGTTATATGCGATGTAATACACCCAGTAGACGTAGATCATGGACAGTGGATGGGTGTTGCAAGATATTTTGATTTGCTTGACAATATTTTGGTGCATGGGTTTTCAATTGACCGCAGAGATTGAGGATGGGTTCTTAGTGCAGATGGTAAATCAGTTGATGGTGATCAGTTGGCACCATCTCCTTCCTCTCCGTTTCATCCTCCGACAATCAAGGGTGAATCCCAACCCTCCTCTTTACTGGTCTGCTGGACTTCTTCCTCGTTGAGTTTTTTCGATTCCATTCACCAGTGACGAGGTTGTATGGATTCCTCCCATTGCCAGCTAGCGATCACATCATATGACCTCATGCTTACGTCTGTGGCATACTTGCATATTGAGCAAGTTCAGTGTTTGGGGTTGAATCTTCTAGATGATTTGAGAGTGCAGTGGTTGAATCCTAATCGAATACGCAATGGTTGTGTTCAGCTACGCCCAAAGGCTCCGTACAACTTTAGTTGGGCCTTATTCAGCTGGCTTTATTTAGTCCAAGGAATGCAATCATCTTGCAGTAGTATTTTAGTCAAAGTTTGTGTGTTCCTTGAGGTGCCACGTCTACACAATGTTTTGGTTAGGATAGTGGGGTTATCATATGGGCTTGCTGATCAGATGAGACAAGTCTTGAGCCCACAGTTGATCAATGACCAGCACAATGGCCCGTGTAAATATGAGCTTTGTTTGTTCTCTGTCCTACGCCTTTATGTATAGTGTTGTTGCGTTTGGTTGTACTTTGTAAATGCTATATGGCTTTTTTTATTGCCAGGGTTAAAAAATAAAAAATAAAAAATAAAAAATAAAAAATAATAATAATAATAATAATAATAATAGAGAAGATACTCCTTCAGAAAGAAGAAAACAAAAACAATTATTATGACCCACTCAAATCAATTGTGCACATGATAACAAAAAATAGACTTCTTTTGAAAAAAAAAAAAAAAATCAATTAAAACTAAAGAAAAAAATAGACTATCAACTTTTTTTTTAATTAATTTATATATATAAATAAAAAAACCTAAATTTGAATGTCATTTTGTTGCTTTCAAAAAATTTGATCAAGATTGCACAAATAAAAATATATAAGAAAGTAGATTTCCTTTGTTTAGGATGTGTAAAATTCTAAGTATCATATATATTTAATTTAATGAAAAATATAAAATCAAAAATTTTTTTTAAAAAAAAAATTATAATCCAAAATTAAATTAATTATAATAATTTTAAACTATCACAAATAATGATATGAATGGTGAAAGAAACTTAAAATAATTAATCATAAGAAGTCCAAATCATAAATATTCATTCCATATAAATGGAAATAAATAAATAGATAAGCTTTAATTCAATAATAGAGCTTAAGAATTTAGTTAGGTGTAATATAAGAAAACTTAAAACAAAGGAAAATGATATTTCAACCGAAATGTCTCACCGAATACTTTGGCAGAACTACGTGACATGTCCAGCTAGACAACTTCCATCTCTTTCTCTTTCATCTCTTCTCTCTCCTTCTCATTTTCTCTCTCTAATATCTCACTCACCTGGAAAGAAGCAAGAAGTGGGTTTGTTCTGAAGCTGGTTCGTCCACGTGAGTGACCTTCCCCACAACTATCTGGAGTTGCCAGAGATTGAACCAGTAATCTCTCCTCCGCCACTGTCACCGCCATTCTCCTCCACAACCACCATTGCTCCTCTCTTTCTAAGATTCCCGATCTAAATCCTCTTCAAACCCTAGTTTTCTGACCAAAATCAAATTCCCCCTAAACTATTGAAGCTTATGAAGGGTCCGACAATTAGGTGCAGCAATAGGTTTGTCTTATCGTTCGCTCTACCATTCATATTCTTCATCTAAGGATAAAAGAACGAAAGAAAGCGAAAATTCATACCTAAAAGCCAAGGTGGAAGGGGAGTTCGAAAAGGCGCGGAGACTTTGCTTTTCGCCTACCTTCCTTGAGAAGACGGAGTTGATGTAGTAGCAGCTCTCTTGTAATTAGAATTACACTGAATCTTTCATCAATTTTTTTTTTTTTTTTGGGAAAATTTTGGTATCATGAAATCTTTTGGGGCTAAGTTTTTTTTTTTTGAAAGGTAAATGGATTGTTCGGGTTGATGGGCAGTGATGAGGACGGCGGCGATAGTGGTTACAGTGGTTGATTTTTCAGAGATGATGGGTTTGGTGTTGGTGGGTGGTGTGACGATGACGAAGACGAGCTGAATGGAGAAGACGAAGTAGGTGGTGTCGACGGTGAACCCCCAAGTAACCTGCAATTTTACAACTGTATTCACTAATTGACCTTCTGAAGTTCCTAATTTGATTTACTCAATCCAATACATGTATTTTGTCTAAATATAGTAGCTGCGCAAGTAGTTGAAATTGGTGTCGATGAAACTGCATTGGTGGTGTTGGGGCCGAAGAGTTAGGCCCTAGAGAGAGAAAGGGAGAGGCGACACTCCCTCTTACAAACTTTTTTGCAAGATGTCGGCATCGTAGCTTGGATGATGATCAATTGAGTTTGGCCATTGGGTCAATTGTTGCATCAGACAGAACTCTTCCATGTTATCAAATTGATGATAAAATGTATGTAAATCGTAGCTTGGATGATAGCACAAGATAGAGAAAACCATTACATGTGCTTAATACTTTGTGAAATGGGATTCATCTTTTATTATTATTATTTTTTTATCTTTTAAAGAGGTGAAGAACAATATAATCAAACAAATAAATACACATATTTACCTTCCAAAAAAAAAAAAATCATATATGATCTAATATATAGAAATATATATGAATATGATATACGATCGATATGAAGTTACAACCGTACCTTAAAAATCAAAAGTTCTTTCTTTCTTCAAGTTAAGATGGTAAGAAATATTGTTTGAAAAGACGAAATGAAGAGGGAGAGATTTGATAACTATCAGAAGAGAAAAACTTAGCTTATAAATCTGCAGATGTGTATATTGTTTCTCATTTTATTTTATTTTATTTTATTCCTTTTTAAAATTGTTAAAATTGCTTACCTGAATTGCCATGTGTATTCTGTTAAACTAATTGGTCAAAATTATCGGTCCATCTATCACTACCTTAAAACAAAATAACCATAAACATAATCTGAGAAATACAACAATTAAGGGCCCGTTTGGGAAGTGTAGTGTGATGTAGTGTATTGCTCTAGTCTAGAACAGAACAAGTGTTATGTAGTGTGATGTTCTGAAACGAGAACAAAACATATTTGGTGTTCCATATTTGTTCTGAGAATTTTGAAACAAAAATATGGTAGAACATGTTTGGTAATGTACATTATTCTAAGAAATATGAGAACAAAACATGTTTGGAAGAATAAAAGTGTAACCTAAATCACTAAAAAAAAAATCATGAAATATATATATTTTTTAAGTGACAAATTCCAAAACTATAAGTTACCAAAAAAAATTGTTGGGTTTCCTTTGTTAAAAAATTACCAATAAAAACTTGTAAATATTACCAATAAATTTCATTGCATGAAATTAGTACGAGTGTTGGATTTTTTTAATTAAAAAATTACCAATAAAAACATGTAAATAAAAAATTTGCTTCTTCAGTACCTTTTTACTAAAAATAGAAAAACAAATTTAATCATATATTATATTATCTAATAATAAGTCACAATTATTTTCTTTCTCCATTTAAATTTAAATTTTTTAAATTTCAGATGGACAAATATAAAAAATGAGGATTCAAGCTATTTTGATATATATATATATATATATATATATATATAGAAAAACAAATTTTATTATATATTATATTATATAATAATAAGTCATATACTATATTATCTAACATTTTTTTTAAAATTTAAGATAACATATATATATAATTGTCTTTTGTGCATTAAAGTATGCAAGAGGACAGGAATTAGCTGGATGGGGTTTTTACGAAAATGGAGAGAATTCGTTATTTTAGAGTGAGATATGCACAGTTCATTTTCCTTTTCCATTTCCATTTCCATTTCCATTTCATGTTTTATTAGGAGTTAATTTGATAATCATGGTCTACGCAAGAGATTTGAAAAAATTGCAAGAGATTTGAGAATTTGGATCAGACAAAAATTTAGTTAAAAAAACGCAGACGTGGGGTTCGTCGGAATCGGCAGACGAGAGCGCACAAGAGCTCGCCGGAGTGACAGATCTACGCGCCGAAGCTTTGGGTTCGCCGGAAAACACAGAGGTGGGGTTCGCCGGAAAACGCAGAGCTGAGATAGTTCTTGAAAGAGAGAGGGGGGCAAGTTCACAGATCTGCTAGATTTTGTAGTTTGCAATTGCAGAGAGAGAGGGGGCAACTTCAGAATTGAGAACGAGAATAGAGATGGAGGTGGGTCTCGAACTTCTGATTCTTTTAGATTTTGTAGCTTGCAGTTGGAGAGAGAGAGGGCAAGTTAGAGTGTTTTTTCATAAATTAGGGCAAGTCAGAGTGTTTTTTCATAAATTAGGGCAAGTTCACAGTTGAGAACGAGAATAGAGATGGAGGCAAGTTCACAATTAGGCTGTTGTTCTAAGAATTCTTAAATATGTGTTCTAAGAATTCCTGCACTTTGGGCTGTTGTTCTCCTTTCTACAGTGAATAGTGGGTCGGCTGAAATTTGGGAACACTTTGGAACATGATTTTTTTGTTCCGGAAATTGGCCCAAAAACAGAAATTGTTCTAACACTGTTGGACACAATACAGCCCATACCAAACAAGTTGGTGTTCTCAATAGTGTCCATTTGCACTGTAGGGAAGGGCATAAAACAAGATGGAGCATCCCCCAAATAGGCCCTAAGCTTCGAAATTACTCCCCAACTCCCTGGCCTTGGCTATATTTATTGGTGAAGCTCTCCTTACTTCAACACTCCACCTTTCTTTACACGTGGCTGACGTCCTTGACGACTTCTTCAACACTTCACTGACTCGGGCAATTTCTTTTCTTTTCTATCTCATCGTTTTCTTTTTATTTTTCTTTTCTATTTCTTTTTCTGAACTTTCCTTTTATGAATATTCCATTCCACTTTTCTTTTTAAAATTATTACAAATAAATAGTACTAATGAATTATATTTACCATTTAATAGAGTCAAAAATTTCATAGTTTTGAAAAAATAAAATTGACCAAAATATTAACATAAACATCGAAAAAAATTGTTTACCATCACTGAAGTGGGCCACATAGGTACCACTTTTTATGCATCAAGTACCACTTTTTTGTACAACACAAAAAATGGTATCTAATAACAAAAAAATGATATATGTATGCACAAAAAGTGATACCTCAGTAAAAATAATAATAATTTTTCATATATTCATTTTTTTGAAACTATAAGACTTTGATTTCATCAAATGATAAATATAGATCATTAGCACTATTTATATGTAATAAATTTATTTTTTATTTATTTTATTTTATTTTTTTAATATTCCACTCTACATGTCCTTTCTCATTCTTCATGCGAAATTAATCTTTTATCTCTTTTTTTGGTGAGAATTACCATTAACATGAAGAGACACAAAAATATATTAATTAATTAAAATATATAGAAAAAAGTACAAACAAATATTATTTTGGGGATTAAATTATGTATAAAATATGAAACTGATCAAATATTCCCAAAAATATATTTTGTTTGTCCTCTAACAAAACTAACAGAATTAAAATCCTAATTGAAGCACTCTCAATTGCATTTAATGTATGCAATAAAATTTTAAATTCATAGATTACTTCTAAAGAACGAGTCATAGTCTGGTAAAAATTTTCAATGATTATACCCATAAACATCGAATGATTGTAGCTCGTCATAAAAATATTTCTTCAGTCAAGTGCAAAAAGTAAAGAAATAAAGAATACCTCAACCTAATCAATATACTTAAGTATGTTAACAAAATATTTCTTTAGTCAAGTGCAAAAAGTAAAGAATACCTTAACCTAATCAATCTACTTAAGTATGTTAACAAAGACCAATAGAAAAGATTGAACACTACTATATTTAAAAGTCAGAAAAACGCATTACTATTCTTAACTCAGTGTGTGTGTGTGAATAGCCATTTAAAAATATAAACTTCAATTTTAAAGTGACCACATAACAGATTTCCTTTAAAGAAGACTAGCTTTGATTTTAAATCTACCATAGACCGCTGTTACCGATTGATGAAGCAATTTCGGGAATGACGTCATATCGGCAAGAAAAAAAAAGGATAACAACATCGGTGTGGTATGGGTTGGAGAGTCTCCAAGGATTAAGTTAATAGTAGATCGCAGAAAGGAAAAAGAGAATATTATAACCTTTTTTGTTTTGTCATACCTTTTGACTTCTCATGCCTCCTATTTCCAGAGTTGAAACATAACTCACTTTCCTTTACTTCTTCAACACGTAGAAGAAGATCATTAATTATCCTTACACGATTAATTATAATTGTCTATCTAAATCTCTACTGTTGGAATGTAATGTGCATTTATATCTGAACTATTATTCTATATTAGTTGCCCCCAAACTTGTTAAAATGTAAGATACCATTGTTATCAAATTTCCTACAGAATTAACTAATGCGGAATATGCAAAAAAAAAAAAACATGACTGTGTTGCAAGAATGCAAATTTCAAATGTAACTTCTTTTATTTTATTATTATTCCTCTAAAGTAGTGGAATTGAAGGGCCAAATTGAATTTAAACAAGATGGTGCCACATCAAATTATACTGGCGGTCACCTATCAGAAACAAAAAATCTTTTGCAAACCTTACATTTGGACTTGTCAGGATGAACCTGCAAACTTTCTTTTTTGATGTGCGCTAATCAAAGTCGATAACTCAATAAGTTGATTGCACCATGTAATTGATAATGCTTAGAGCACTCCAGCGGCCTCTTCAAAACCCATTTTTTATAAGCAAAAGAATTTTTAGGCCATTCATAGCAGGCTCTTCATAATCCAATTTTCGCACGAGAGAAAGATACTTTGGGCGTGCAGCGGGCTCTTCATAATTGGTAGGGTCCATTTTTGCTCGCGGTATTGAGCGAGCCGGCTCGCGATCGCTTTCTTCTTCTTCTTTTTTTTTTTTTTTTTTTTTCGGTTCAAAACGGCGCCGTTTGGGCTGCTCATCTTTTGTTTTATTCTCCAGCTCCTGAACAGTGCGCCAAACAATGTCTTTGACAGATTTTTTTTTTTTAAAAAAAACCTAAAAATAGGTTATTTTGAGCTCCTTTTAGAAAAAAATAAAATAAAAATAAAACTCATTAAATAAAAATATATTGTTTACGCACTGTTTATCGAAAAAAAAAAAAAATTATTTGGGCCAAAAAATAAATTCAAAAAGTTTTTTTTTTTTTGCTTTGAATTGTAATCCTTATTTTCTTATTCCAATTCATTATTTTTAATGCTTATTTATTTGGGCCAAAAATAAATAAAAAAAGCTTTTTTTAAAAAGCTTTTTGTAAAAAAAATAATTAAAATTACAAATTCATTTACTTAATCCTATAGAATTTTGTAATACTTATTTTCTTATTCCAATTCATTATTTTTAATCTTAAAAAACTATTACATAATAAAAATTCTAGTACACGAAATGTCATAACATCTTAAAAGCAAACAAAATGTAACATAAATTAAACATCTTCATCAGCATATCGGTTCCACAAATTTCTAAATGCAACATAAATTAAGC